GAAAAGCACCAAACGACCTTCTCAGGAACCTCTGCCTTATGTTGCTCCTCTCTCTCCTAAGCTCCCCAAAGCAGAAGTGCATGCCTCTGAAGGTAAATAGTATTTACATGCTGCAAGATTGGGGAGAAAAGTCACTCTTCTATCACTTATATGCTCTTGAGTGTTGATGCTGGAAGTAGGGGATTATATTCCCCCAAATCAGTTTGGCAGTTAGGCTACTACTTTGGCAGCTTTGTTGAGCGCTTCATTCCCTTCAGAAGTGCACAGTTGTCATTTCTCCTCAGATTAAAGAAAAACAGTTATAGCCATATTTTCCATTCAGCTTTGTATTGCTAAAAGCTGATAGAAAGAGGAATAGAAAAACCTAGTACGTTTCTCCAGTAAAAGTTTTAAGTGCCCAAGGAGTAAGCAAATGTTAGAAACCAACTCTGTGATCATATTGTAACAAAGAGTTGTGAAGAACTGCATTCCTAAAAATAAATGCTTTAGTGAGGTGTTCATAGTCTTGGTGGCAAGACTGGCAAGGGTTAGTTGCCGTGAGAAAAATAGGTGATATCATTAGAATCAATTTGGATTTCAGGACAGTGTCCATTACTATAAACACCAAGAAGGGGATGGCCATGTGCTTTGTGTTAGAGGTTTGTGGTTCAGTATAGCATGGCTTAAGTGAACTGTTGTTGGCAGTTAGGGGATTTTTGACCTTTTAATAGTATTCGAGCTGTAAGTCTGTTGAAGATAATTGCCTTTGTCTTTTTTCTTATTGCCTTTGTCTTTTTTTTTTTCTTGTAGAAGAAGTATTATCTTCTGAGGGAAATGGCATGCCCAAAGGGGAAATGCTTTCTGAGGAGTCCAAAAACTCACAACTAAATCCAGCAAGTTCTTTGAATCCTGCCAGCACAAGTCCTATAAGCACTCATACTCCGGTCTCCAGTAGTGTTTCTCAAAGTGTGCCATGCACCTCGAGTTCAACACTGGTGGGGACCGAATCACCTCCCAAGAGCAGTCACCATGAAGTTACATTCCAGATGCAGAGGAAAAGTGAAGCTCCAAGTTATATAGCTGTACCTGACCCCAGTGTCCTGAAACAAGGCTTCTCTAAGGACCCTTCAACCTGGTCTGTGGATGAAGTGATACAGTTTATGAAACATAAAGATCCTCAGATATCAGGCCCCCTCGCCGACCTCTTCATGCAACATGAGATTGATGGGAAGGCTCTGCTACTACTCAAAAGTGATGTGATGATGAAGTATATGGGGCTGGAGTTGGGGCCAGCCGTAAAGTTATGTTACTATATTGAAAAACTTAAAGAAGGAAAATATAATTGAAAAAAAATGTGTAAGCTTAGATTAGACATAATTTTCAATTGTCTTGATAACTTTTTAATTTAAAAGTATTTTTATTCTCGTAGCAGTTTTTGTTCTGTAGACAGTTCCTCTAAAACTACGTTATATCCAGAATTGCAGAACTACATTACAAGCCCAGTCTACTTCTTTAAAACACATTAACATGTTAGTGTTAGCATATTCAACTTGGCAGTCCTTTATGTCTTTTTATTATTTTACACTTTACAGTTTATTATTTAATTGTACAGTTTACAAATATACTTAATGCAGGAAACAGAGAAACACCATTGATTTTGATTAATGTTTATATATAAAACCAAAACAGCTACATCCCAAAGGGGAAAGTATCAGGGACTGACAGGCTCTCTAGTGAAATCCATGAGAAGTTTTCCTTAGAAAAGAATTTAAAGATGCAACTGTAGGTATCATCTCTTTTTCAAATATTTTATGTCTGTTACTGCAATGTTCTGTTTGTGTTCTACCGATTTCCGGAAAGGGAATAGCCATATAAATTATTTTCCTTTCGTTATTATTTCTCTGTATGTTGTGTTTGTTCATATTTAAAGAAAAAAAAAACAAGCTTATAAACTTTCATAAAGTCTTCTTATCACTTTTTGATAAATTTCAAACAATTGTAAGATAGAATGGTTGTTTTATGCAAGAGATATCATACTACAAGGGTGGTTTGGATGGAGTCTGATTAACATTTTTCAGTGAAATACCTATTATTTCAAAACTTTACATATTTTCTCTAAGCTTAGACATTTAACTAGGCATTCATTTCTCATATCTCTATATCAGGACACCTGTGCCCAAATTTTTAATATATATATATTTTATTGTCTGTGTTTTATTCTTCATACAGATACTATACCATATTTATATATTATTCTATACCTGTAGGTATTCAAACAAGTAAATCTGTTCTTTTTGAATTTAATATGGCACTTTGCACTGCCACAGAGGTAATGGTGAACTATTTATATAGTTCGATGTTTTTATTCTGAAAAAAATATGTGCATCATTTGCTATCACTAGTACCTCTCAGCTTAGTCTTCAGGGGATAAGAAACAATCCATAGATTGGTTTCCATACAGGGAAGTTCTCTGTCCTATGCAATGTTGCTAGTTAATTTGCTTAGCTCTGAGCCATTTATTCTGCTAAATTTTGGAAGATGCATTAATTCAGACTTATCATTTTGGGCTTTATTTTTAAAGTTAGAACTTTCAAGGGGAAATGGTGCTATATGTTTATTGTTAGTACTTTGTATAAGTTTGGTGCAATGTTAATAAGCTATGAGAATCTGTGCTAAAAGTATTAGCCATTTGTTATAAATGCCAATAAAATGTACACCAGGGGCAAGAATGTACATTTTCTTTTTTAGAAAACCAAATGTACTTTATATGAGAATACTTCTATTTAAAGGGTGGTTTCATCTATGTTATTCATTTTGTGCTATAAGACAAAATTCTAACTTAAACTTGGTCTTCCCTCAAATTGTTTGTGTGAAGATGCTGTGCTCAGTTAAACAGTCCTCAGGTGTTTGTATAAATACTGTTTTACAGTTTTCAGATTTTAAAATATAATAAAAGTTTAATAACCACCGCCAAAAAAAAAAAAAAAAACCATAGCCCCAAATCAACCTCGGGCTATGGCTGAGTGAGGAGTCTGGCAAATCCTCTCCCCTAAAAGCAACTAAAATGCTGAAGAAAATTGAGAAAAGCAACCATTTCTGTACTATGGAAGTAGTCCAAACACATATAACAATGTAAGAAGCATTTATGCTTGAAAACTGCTGAATACTGAGTAGAAATAGTAGGAGTCTGTGGCATTTTTGCCTGGGATGTTCCCAACAGCCCTCCAGCTCCATTGGCATGGATGTTCTGCCAGAGCAGGGCAGGCCAATGAGGGCTGACAGCTTCACTGATGCAGGCAAAATAGAGTGAGCCTCTTTAACTGTTCAGTGATGGAATACACATTCTTTCCAAGTAAAAAGGGAACACTTACAAAGATAGACCATACTCGAGGTCATAAAATAAGTCTCAAAAACATTAAAGAATTCAGGTCACATTAAATAGCTTCTCTGACCACTATGAAATTTAATTAGACATCAATAACAAAAAGATTTCTATAAAATACCCAAATTTTGGAAGCTAAATATCATATTTCTAAATAGCCCATGGATCTAAGAGGTAAACCAAAAGTTAAATTAGAAGTATTTTGAAATGGATGAAAATGAAAACACAATATATTAAAATGTGCAGGATGCCTCTATGGATTAAAGACAAAAATGCTTATATTAGAAAATAAGAACATTCTGAAATCAATGACTTCAACTTCCACCTTTAGATACTAGGACAGGAATAGCAAGTTAAACCCAAAATTAATAAAAGTCAAACAATAAAGTTCGTAGTAGAAATCAGTGAAATAGTAACAGAAAATAGACAAAAATCAACAAAGCCGAAAAGTGATTCTTTGAGAAGATCGATAAATGTGATAAGCCTTTAGCCAGACAGGTCAAGGAAAAATTATGAATATCAGGAATTAAAGGAGTGACATCACTACAGAGTCTAGAAAAATTTAAAGAATAATGAAATATTTTGAAGAACTTTGTACCAAAACATTTAAAAACTTTGATAAAATGGACAAATTGCTTGACAGCACAAACTACCAGAGCTGTCTGAAGAAAAGATAATCTGAATAAACCTATATTTGTTAAAGAAACTGAAATTGTAGTTAAAATCCTTTCTACAAACATAATTTCAAGATCAGATGGCTTCAATGGTAACCAAACAGTTAATGAAGGAATAATGCCAATTCTATACAAACTCTTCCAGAAATTGAAGAGGAGGGAATCCTTTCCAACTCACACACTAATACCAACATTATGCTACGAACAAAACCAGCTAAATTGTTTTAAGAAAAGAAAACTAAGGACCAATATCCCTCATGGACATAAATGCAATAATTCTAAACAAAGTTTTAGCAAATCTAATCCAACAATACCAACAACAATAACAAAAGAATAGGCAAAGGGTTTCAACAAACACTTCATCAAAGAAGACATAAAAGCGATAAATAAGCACATGAAACGGCATTCAACATCATTAGTCATGAGGAAAATAACAATTAGAAGCACAGTGAGATACCACTACAGACCAATTAGGAAGCCTAAAATTAAAAAGACTGACCTTACCAAGTGTTAGCAAGGATTTAGAACAACTGTAATTCTCAGCCACCAATGGTTGGAATGCAAAATGGTGTGGCTGCTTTGGAAAACAGTTTAGCAGTTTCTTAAATAGTTAAGCATCCACCTAACATATGATTCAGCCATCCCCCTCCTAGGTATAACCCAGGAAAAATGAAAGCATATGTCCATACAAAGACTTGTATATGACTATTTATAACAGCTTTATTTATAACGGCCCAAAACAGGAAAGAGATCTAAATGTACATCCACAGATGAATGTATTAAAACAAAACAAGACTCTGCTATATCCATACAATAGAATACTTCTCAGCAGTAAAAAAGAATGAATTACTAATACGTGCTACAACACGGATAAACCTCAATGTAAATATGCTAAGTGAAATAAATCAGACCAAAAAGAAATGAATGATTCAATTTATATAAAGTTAAAGAAATTGGAAACTCACCTATAGTGACAGAGAGAAGGTCAATGTCTTCCAGGAGATCTAGGGTCAGAGAGGAGCAGACAGAATCATGAGGACAATTTCGTTTTGGAGGTAATGTATATGTTTATTATTGTGATAATGGTTTACACATGTTAAAACTCATTAAAATATAGGATTTAAATATGTGCAGCTTATCATACATCAACTACTGCAAAATAAGGTTGTTTAAATTGTTTTAAACCCACAAAAAAAGGACAGGTAGAAATGACGTCATTGGTGAATTATATCAAATACTGAATGAAAAAATCCAAATTTTTGCAAGCTCTTTCAGTAGATACAGAAGGAGGGAACATACTTTATAATCCATTCTATGAGGCCAGTATTAATCTGATATCAAAGCCAGAAAAAGACATCACTAAAAAAAACTACAAACCAATATCCCTCATTAACATAGTCACAAAGAAATTCCTTGACAAAAATTCATTCAAAATGGACCCTAAACCTAAAAATAAAATGCAAAGCTATAAAATTCCCAGAATATAGCATAGGTGAAAATCTAGGTGACCTTGGGTTTGACCGATGACTTTTCAAGTGCAACCCCGACAGTGTGATCTAAGAAAGAAAAATAAGATGGACTCCATTAAAATGAAAAACTTCTGCTCTTTTAAAGACACTGATAAGAGAATGCTAAGACAAGCCACAGACTGGGAGACAAATTTTGCAAAACATCTCATAAAGGACTAGTATCCAAAATAGACAAAGAACTCTTAACACTCAACAATAAGAAAACAAACAATGTAATTACAAATGGGCAAAAGATTTGAACAGACACCTCACTAAGGAAGATAATGCAGGTGGCAAATATGCATATGAGGGATGCTCAACATCAAAAGTCATTATAGAATTGCAAATTAAAACAGCAATAAGATAACACCACACACCTATTAGAATGTCGGAAGTGCAAAACACTGACAACACCAAAGGCTAGCATGGATGGGGAGCAGTAACAATTCTCATTCATTGCTGGTGAGAATGAAAAAGGATACAGACACTTTGGAAGACACTGGGCAGTTTCTTACAAAACTAAACATACTCTTACCATAGGATCCATCAATCGTGTTCCTTGGTATTTACCCAAATGAATTAATAACATAGGTCCTCACAAGGGTCTACACACAAATGTTTATAGCACCTTTATTAATAAGTGCCAAAACTTGGAAGCAGCCAAGATGTCCTTCAACAGGTAAATGGATATACAAGTTGTGGTACATCCATACAATGGAGTATTATTCAGTGCTAAATAGAAATACAAAGCCACAAAAAGACACGGAGGAAACTTAAATGCAGGCTGCCAAGTGAAGAGGCCAATCTGAGAAAGCTATATACTATTTTATTCCAGTTATATGGCTTTCTGGAAAAGGCAAAACTGTGGAGACAGTAAAAAGATCTGATCTGGTTGCTAAGGGTTTGGGAAGGAAGGAGGGAGGGATAAATAGGTGAAGCATGGGGCAATTTTAGGGCAGTGAAACTATTCCATATGTTACTATAATGGTGGACAAGTGTCATTAAACGTTTGTCAAAACCTGTAATACGTACAACATAAAGAGTGAACCCTAATGTAAACTATGGACTTTTGTTAATAATAATGTATTAATGTTGGCTCATCAATTGTAACAAAAGTACCACACTAATGCAAGACGTTAATAAGAGGGAAAACTGTGTAGGGGAGAGAATAAGTGGATGTATGGGAACCGTGTACCTTCAGCTCAAGCTTCCTGTAAACCTAAAACTGCTCAAAAAATACACACACACACACACACACACACACACACACAGAGGCATCTTATACATCTTGTACATAGACGTATCTCTCTTCAAACTATTTATGTAATGCTTGGGAAGTTCAACAGATATGGTTCCCTACTTATAATTGTGGCTGTGACTTTAAAAATCAAATTGGAGAGATTGTCAAAATAAAATAAATAAATAGAGGTGAAGGTTAATGTTCTCCCCATTTCCAGGATCATTGTGCTATAGTTACTCATTACTTTGCTCTACCAAATTACGCTGAACTTTTAAGACTTAATTGATATCATGTTTTAATACCCTAATAGATCTCATCGTTTGTTCTTACAATACACTGAATCTATGTCATATATTGGGTTGGCCAAAAACCCGAAAGAACTTTTTGGCCAACCCAATACTTTGGGCCTTAATCACGTTGTGTTGTTGCTTGAAGCATAACATTATCATCTCAATTACTACTTCTTATCTTAAGAAAAGGGAATAGGATCCCTTCTTCAGTGTTCCTCATAGCCCTCAGTACCATGTGGAATATAAAGAATGTTTTAAAATATTGCTTTACTTTCATACTCTGAACAAATGTACTATAGTTTAAGAATCCTGAATAGCATGAATTTACTATTGATGATTAGCTCAACATCAGTCATCATCAGGGAAATGCAAATCAAAACCACAATGATATCACCTCATACCTGCCACAATGACTATCATCAAAATGTCTATAAATAACAAACGTTGGAGAGGATGTGGAGAAAAGGAAACCCTCCTACACTGTTGGTGGGAATGCAAACTGGTACAGCCACTGTGGAAAACAGTATGCAGGTTTCTCAAAAAACTAAAAATAGAACTACAATATGACCCAGCAATTCCACACCTGGGTATATATCCAAAAAAACCAGAAACACTAGTTTGAAAAGATACATGCACCCCAATGTTCATAGCAGCATTATTTACAACTGCCAAGATATGGAAGCAACTTAAGTGTCCATAGACAAATGAATGGATAAAGAAGATGTGGCGCGCGCGCGCGCACACACACACACACACACACACACACACACTGAAATACTACTCAGCCATAAAAAAGAACAAAATTTTGCCATTGGCAGCAATATGGATGGACTTGGAGGGCATTATGCTAAGTGAAACAAGTCAGACAGAGAAAGACAAATATGGTATAATATCACTTATATGTGCAATCTAAAAAAAATTACAACAACCAAGTGAAGATAACAAAAAAGAAGCAAATTCACATAAATAGAGGACAAACTAGTGGTTACCAGTGGGGAGAAGGAAGGGGGGAAGGGGCAATACAGGGGTTAGGGACTAAGACGTACAAACTATTATATAAAATAAGCTACAGGGATATATTGTACAACACAGGAAATATAGCCAATATTTTATAAAATATACATTGAAACTGTCAATAAATAAATTAAATAAAAAATTTAAATGCCTCTTTATAAAAATGTCCCTGGAAAAGAACCAATTAATACTCCATAATTTTCCAAAGTTATGTAAACCCCCAAAGCTTATATCATCTCCAGTTGGGCCCATGAAACTAATAATATCCTGACCAAAAGAAACAAAACGGGGCTTCCCTGGTGGCGCAGTGGTTGAGAGTCCGCCTGCCGATGCAGGGGACATGGGTTCGTGCCCCGGTCCGGGAAGATCCCACATGTCGCGGAGTGGCTGGGCCCGTGAGCCATGGCCACTGAGCCTGCGCGTCCGGAGCCTGTGCTCCGCAACGGGAGAGGCCGCAACAGTGAGAGGCCCGCGTACTGACAAAAAAAAAAAAAAAACAAAACAAAAAACGAAGACAGCTCTTCTTTCTCTCTTCTGTACTCTCTCTTTTACCTTCCAACCTCAAGGAAAAGATAATTAGGAAAGGAGAGAAACCACAAAAAGAGTGACAACGGGGCTGGATATGAGGAGAAATGACCTAGGATATCCTAGATTGGGCACGCCACAGACACCTCTGTGTGATGGGTGTAAGTAAAAAATGCGAAATAGTGGACAAAGAAGCGGAAGGACTACATTGAAAGAAAAGGAAGAGACTTTTAAAACTTAATTTTTGTTTTACTTATATAAAACATTTATATAGTTTTAAAGTCAACTCTATAAACAAGCAATATTCTGAGAAGTTTGGCTTCTATCTGTCCCTTTACTTTATTCCCTACCTCCAACATAGTAGGGCTTCTAGTTTAAAATAGATAGAATCTGGTTAGCAGCCTCTGTTGAAACTTCTCTTAACCTGCGATGAAAGTAACTTTGTTGATATGAAAAAAGACAACTCAAAACATGAAAAACTAGCATGTCAATCTGTTTGTAGAACACTAGAGGAATTTCAACTAAGACAAGGCTGATGGAAAGAAATTGAAAACATTGTTGCGGGTACACCATGCTAAGCTCTTCTAAAAGTCAGTTGGAAACCCTCTGTTCCTCTGAATTCTTCATTCAGAAACTTAAAACCTATACCAGCTAAGAGAGCTGGGAATCCGTCCTTCTACTGACTGGTTATCTTTTTGCCCCCACCCCTTCAACCAACTAATACGTATCTTACTACAACCAGTTGGAGATTAAAATTTCCAGAAGGCCACACGACCAAAAGTGGATAGTAAGCTTTCAACAGCATAATGAATTCTAAAACAGAGTATTTACATATAAAACACCAAAGACAAGATTAGATAAAATGAGGGTCCAAAGGGAGTACACAAAGGGAATTACAGTATTCTTTACATTATGTGTTAATTCCCCCAGATAATGAGGATAGGAGACATTCCAAATCAGCCCAATAATTCCGTGTTAGAAAATAGTATGATAAACGCTGAGAATTAGTCTGTAGACATCAACCAGTCTTCTAGCTATTGGTATGAAAAGGGGATTCAACACATAATGAGGCCAAATGCATTCATATACCTTGTCAATTCACAAACATCATCTCAGAATATTTCTTTAGTTATGTGAAGGGAAGCAAAACAGAAATACAAACCAACATATTGCCTATGAAACATAAAGGAAAGGCATACTATCTGTAACACTCAGGAAAGGCAAAACTCAAATTCTCAAAAGATTACAAGAAGATACCAACTCAACCAAAGTAGAGTACAGGCAAAGAAGAAAAGGTAGCAGAACTATATACAAAGGAAATGGATGACATAAAAAAGAATTGCAGTGAAATTAAAAGCAACACAAAATTAAATCCCATTGGAGACAGTAAAGAATGTAATTCATTCTGAAGAACATCAAATTACTGG